TAAATGTGGAAGTGGGAAATATGATGTTTGTTTCCCTAGCTGTAAAGCAAAAACTTGTTCTTTAGAAAATGCTTTCAACTTCTGTTTAAATATTCTTTAAACAGACCTACTTAGATTCCAAAAAAGGTAGTTAACTTAAATTATGTATATTCATTAAATATTATGTATGACAGACCAATCAAAACTTTTGATATTATAGTAAGAGTTTGCATTATCAAACCACTAAACATAAATACCATATTTTATGAAATTATACAACAAATCTAAATTATATTCCCTCTTTCACACCTGACCTGCAATTATGAATGGAACTTAACATATCTGTATGTGCCGGACCTGCAGGTCAAATCACATATAATAGAAACAATTTGCGATTTGCTCTCAAGTTATTTTCCTTTTTCTAAAAGCAAAGGTGATCTAGGGTAAAGAAACATTATTGCTGAATGATTTATCCTCTGTAGATAATGAAATGTTGAAATCAATTTGCTTTAGGAAATCAGTGCATGAAGAAGTAAATCACTTTCTCTACTGGCTCAAGCAAAACTGTTCCTCAGAAGTGCTAGAGTAGCTTGATTTTTCAGGATGGAACTAGGCATAAAAGCAGCAGACCTTTGTCCCAAATGCACGACTTGGCAATAAACAGAAGATGGGTTATGGTCAGTAAACCTAGAAGACACATTTCAAATAAGAAATCATGTGCTTTTATTTGTCACACTATCATATCAAGTATGGCTCCATGTCTGGAAGTTTATAAACTTAAAAGGAACCCATTGCTTTTTATTCTTCCTCAAAATCAGGCAATCTTTTAGAATTAGACTAAGTCATTTATATTTAGGTATGTTTTGATGGCTGGCATAATTTTGATGGTGGTGTGTGTGGCACTGTGCTATATTGTTTTCATTAAATGTTTAAATTCAGTGACAGTATAGACATATTAAAATAGTGTTTATGATTACTGAACTTTCAGGATAAAATACAGTAGCAATATTATATCAGTTTCAGAATTTAATTTAGCAACTGTTCTAAGCGTTATGCAGAAATCTGAACACTTACCCCCATGTTCTGCAAACTTTGGATTAGAAAGTATTTGTTTGCAAAATTTCAGACCGTTCCTGTACTGTTTGTGTTCATAGCACCTCTGTAAGGAAACAGAAGTCCAAACGCTATAAATTCATCAGCAGATTACAATATAAAATATATGTAAAGTCATCAATATACCTACTTAATCATATCTATTATTTCTAATACAATTTTTCCTGATGTTACACACAATCAAATATGAGAAGAAATGTCAGAAAATATGAAATACAATCTCAATAAACTACTAATCAAGAACACAGCATTAAATAAATAAATAAATAAATAAATAAATAAATATTCATTCATTCATTCATTCATTCATTCATTCATTCATTCATTCATTCCCTGGAAATTATTTGCCACAGTAATTCTTGCCACGAAAATTCTTTGAGTGCAATCATTTATGTTAACAAAATTAATCAGAACTTTAGTTTATCAAAAAAAAATGCACATTTCATTTTCTTGAAAATCTAGAGTAACCTAATTTGCAAGTAGATAAATTATAATAGTGTTACCTATATACAGCCTAGTTTAAGAACTTTGGAATGAGGTGGGGAAGAGGAGATTAATCATTGCCAGGATCATAAATAAATTCTTTCTCCTCTATGAGATTTCTGCATCTCTTTACCTTATGTGGAAGAGGTACAACTGAGTGAAAATATCAGATCAGAATGCACTTTATTTCATTAAAATAGAATCTTCCTAATAATGATTTAAATAATTAACAATCTTCTTGAGAAGTAATTAGAATCACAATTTAAATCAATTTGGTTAATATCAAGTATGCCCAATGGGGAAAAGAATAATGTATTTTGATTTTTTCTGAAGTTTCTTCCATAATTATACCCATCATTGCCTACAGCCTATGACTGAACTTGAAATACCAGAACAGCAATAACCTGAATGAGGTTAAGAGATTTCAAAATTCTTTTGGCTACACCACTATGCTATGATTCTATCAATGACTCTTGAAGGGTGTGCTCTACAGCGTCCTGCTAAGCTGGAATAACAATAGCATGTTTTCAAATATACACTCAATATGAAAAAAACAAAAACAAAACACACTGAGGTACACAACAAACCATATAAGTAAAGCAGCGCAAAGGGATTATCTTTATAAGCCACAGACTAGTTTAATTTGCTGTCCAAATAGCAGTTTTAACATACTAATTTGCAACATTTAGGTTTTAGGACATCAGGCATTGTATACTTGCATAACAATATAAACAACAAGATAATGTGTGACTAGGGATATATTATAATTTGGATCCAGACAATCTATGTATTTGCCATTCCTTCCTGACTCACAAAGGCTCTCTTAAGACTTGGTGGATCCAGCTGAATGGGATGCACTGTGATATGGGCTGAAGCAGGATTTCCAAAAGTCAGATGAACACACTTTCCTATATTGGTGAATTACCAATCTTGATTTCAATAAAAAATCCAATAATCAAAAAGATATTTCTGAAAAATATTTTCCAGAAATTAAGGACAACGGCATTTGTTATATACAATATGCCTTCATTCACTAGGATCAACAATATAGTTACAGCTTAACTTAAGGTAAAAAGAACAAAGTAAGGAAAGCATAAGAATAGAGGAAGACAAAGGAAAAACACAAGACAAACATAAATATGTATATAATAAAAAAGGCAAGCAAAGTTGAGTCCAGATCTGATTTTAAGTGAGCTATTGATGTAATGATAGGGATACCAGGCAATAAAAACAGTCAGAGTAAAGGCACCCTTGAGTTGAGCTGCTGACTACTGTATGTGGACACAACCACACAGTTTTCTTGTCAACAGTACAGAAGTGGTTTGCCACTGCCTTCCTCCTGCATATTTTTTGACTTTGCAGCCCAACCTACAGTCCTGATAGTTCCTTGTGGTCTCCCAATCATACACTAACCAGGCCTGACTCTGCTTATCTTCCCAGCCCAAAGTCAGCCAGGGGTCAACACCTGTTGCAATAGGCAATAAAAATACAGGAGTTAATTCCTTCCTGTAAAGTGAACACTAATTTAAACTATTATAAACAATATATTCTGCAACCCCATCCATGGCTGATAGTAAACCTTATTGAACAACAGAACTTAAAAGTCTATTCCTAACGCTGTTCTGCACAAAAAGCAGACTCTGATTTTAAAATAATTTGTTAAAGCAAACTTATTATATTATGTAAGTAATAAGTAGGTAAAAACACTTAGACAAATTTGCCCCAAAGATCAAATATAATTTCAATTATCTGTAACTAAGTTTCCATTTTATTCATGTATAAAATTTTATTCTGACAGCAGCTCCTCCTAGTTTTCAAAGTCATTTAAGGGCCAGACTTCTTTAAACATGTAATGGAAGCACATAAATTAAAACTTTATTCAGAAGTAAGGCTAGACCCATATGTACAGATCAGATGGCTCTTCATAAAATACTTGCTAAATATCTGGGAGGGGGAAATGTGTATGCTCTAAGATTTTATCAACTTACTCTTCTCTTGAACACAGTCATTTTCCCATTAATTTTATAACTTCTTAAAAGTATGCCAATAATATCCCTATAGTTCTAATGGGCATCTAAAGCCAAACTACTGAGCTTTGATGACAGTTATATCTATTCTACTGACTTTTTCATCTGAAGACACAACCTGATATTAAAGCATTAAAATTCAACATTGATTTGTGCATTAGAAGAGGATAAAAGTACTTCTGAGAAGTCTTCCTAACAAGGAATAATTGATAATATATTCTGAAGACCAAGAATCTGAATATGTTGTAAAACCCCCCAACTGTGCTTAGAAGAATCAATTGCTGGAATCCTCTTGTATATCTTCCAGCAGCACCTTCTGAATTTTCCAAATGTCAAGCTTATACATCAATCTTATTTAATTATCCTCTGCTATTACACTAAAGAAAAGATACAGGTAATCCTTGGGTTATGAAAGTGATGCAGTTGTAAAGCCTGATGTTACGTGACTGCATTGCTTAGCAAGGCAATCCTGCAGTCCCGGTTGTCATCGTTAGTCCAGGACCATGTGGGTCATGGGTCATTAAGTGGGAAGAGGTGGGAGTCCCAGGCAAGCAGACTGGCCGGTGCATGGGTGTGTGTGTTCGTGTGCATGCTGCGGGCCTCTTCCGCCTCAGAAAAGACAGGTAAGTAATGCCAGGTTTGAGAATAGATTTAAATTTACATACAAATAAGCCCTGTTGAAACATTATTTAGCAGTCAATGTTCAGCATGTATTCATTGGGATTGTATGCATGGGAAAAGTTGAACAGACTTTCCACTGTAGATAGCTGTTTGAATGTGCGACGTCTGCAGGGAGACCTTATAAAAACTGTTAGCAAGTGGCACAGGTTACAGGTAGTCCTTGCTTAATGACCGCAATTGAGATCGGAGTTTAGGTTGCTAAGTGAATCATCATGTGACCAGAGCTGTTTTTACAACCTTTTGGAGGTGGTCATTAAGCAAATCAACATAGTCGTTAAGTGAATCACACGGTTCCCCATTGATTTTGCTTCCCAGAAGCCGGCTGGGAACATTGCAAATGGCGATCATGTGACCCCAGGATGCTGCAACTGTCAAAAGTGTGAGCTGGTTGCCAAGTGCCTGGACTGCAATCACGTGACTGTGGGGTGCTACAACTGTCGTAACTTCGGACACCAGTCATGTCACTTTTTTAGTGCCATAACTTTGAATGGTCGCTAAACGAACAGTCATTAAGCAAGGATCAACTGTAGTTATTTATTGGATTTATATACAACTGTAATAAAAAAATCCAACTCTTAGTAGCTCTGTAGAGCAGTGGTTTCCAAAAAAATTTGATTCTGCATCCTTATCAGCAAAAAAATTCTGAGCGTGCAACCCAATATACATGAATTGTGTAAGTATAATTTATTATATTATAAATTATATAATGTAACACTGTATCAATATGTACATTGTAAAATATATCCCCAAAATACTTGTTTTGTATATTTTTATATTAAATATTGTATAGCTTAATTTCTTACTTTTTTTAAGATAAATATAAATGGACATTCTAATATTTTCTTCTCACACCCCAACAGATCATCTTGCACAGCTCTGCTGTGTGTGCATCCCACTTTGGAGACCACTGCTCTAGAACACACATGTTGAGCATTCCAGATGTAAATCATGTTTTTTTAAATTCCTACTATTAAGACCAAAATAAATAAAAATCATAAAGCTTCACTCTGATGTAGGAGGAAACTGGACTCTTCATAGAAACTGTAGCAGCACTCTTCTTTGTATCAAAAGCAATGTTTAATTTATGTTCAAAACAAGATAAAAAATCCCAACATTCATTGTAGCAATTCTGATAAACAGAGAATGCTTACTTACATGTAGAGTATTAAGTCACATTTTTTTTAAATTTATAGAAAATGTGACTTTGGATCTAGATATAAAATCTATAAGTTCCACAAGACAGGGTCAGTTTAGTATTGCAAATAGTCATGATTTTCACTATACAGTAACAATATTTAATACTTCTGAGCTGAACATGATTATTTCAAAATTAATTTTAGTTGTTTTACAAGATTTAGTTAATTTAACAGTTAACTGTATACAGATCAGTGTTACATTATATTCCACCTATGTTTCCTATGACCAAGAAATATTAAGTGCCATCATTCCCTTGATGTGGCAACTCAGCTTAAGCTTATTCAAGTTTTTCAGTCCAGTCCAAATTACAGGTCAATATAACAGTTATCGTTTGATATAGTAGGTAGCAAAATAATAGGTAGGATTTACTGAAACATACTACTTGGCGAAAATATACAGTGGGGCAAAAAAGTATTTAGTCAGCCACCAATTGTGCAAGTTCTCCCAC